TGTGGAATGTGTGTGATATGTGTGGTGGTCAAGATGGTCATTTTTATGGTTGTGCTTATACTTCTTATCTTCCCCCAACTCCTTACTATGATGGTTCTTCTCTTTCTTGTGAAGTTAATAGGAACAAAGAACCCAGGAATGATGACCTGAAAGAGATCAAGGATATGCTAAAGTACCTTGTGGAGCAAAATAATGAGAAACAACTTCACATAAAAAGGCAAGATGCTGCTATTCGCAACCTGGAGGCACAGGTGCATCAATTAGTTAAAGCATTTAATGCTCAACCAGCTGATATTGTGGATAGTAGCCAAAAGGAGCTTGTATTAGATGCAAAAATTGAGGTGCTAAGGGAGGAGGACAGAGTAGAACACCAACAATCAATTGAACTAGATTTTGAGGATGTAGATGTTGTAGAAGAGATACTAGAGTCAACCAAGAAAGTTGAGGATATAAATTTAGTTGACTCTAGCGTAATTGGTGTTGAGGATGTCAAAAATCTTGAAGTTCATGTATTTGAGCGCGTTGCACCTCATTCCAAATACTTTTCTACATTATGTTCAGACGGTAAAATAGTAATGGATCTTTACGAGCATAAAAAGCAGTCCAAGGAAGAGGTAGATGAGCCTTATATTTTAAAATTTTCAAGGCCGTCTAGGCAAGGTGATACTCCTCGGTGGAGAGCCAAAAAGTGGATGAGAATTCATTTAATTTTTGGCTCGCAACAAATTGTATCGCCCCAAGAGCATGATCATAGAGCAGAATTAAAACTTGGGGTCCAATTCATAAGTTCAAGGTGGAGACAAAAAATAGTTTACGTCGTGCCACGACGTTAAATCAAGCGTTTGTTGGGAGGCAACCCAGCTTTATTTTATTTTTTATTTTTTTTAATTATAGTATTATTTTTGTAGTTTCAATTTTTAATTTTTTAGGAGCATGGAACGCAAAGCCATTGGAAGAATGCAACAGCAAACTAGATGGTTGGAACTAAGTGTGAGGTACCCGCACGAAAGACCAGGCCTGGAAGAAGTCTGAGTACCCCATGAGATGCTAGTGCGTCGGCCTTTGGCCTTCCAGGGAGTTTCTTTTACCCTCTTGTATGTATGGGTGTGCATTGGGGACAATGCACAATTTTAAGTGTGGGGTGAGGAGATTGTTTGGGTGACTTTCTATGCTATTTTAGTTGTGTTAGTTTAATTGAATAATTTTTATTATTATTTTTACAAAATAGAAAATATTGGACTTTTCCCGACGATGGATCTATTAGATATTTTCCTTGAGGGATTTAAGTCGAAAGGAAAAAGACAAAAAATTTTTTTTTTAGGTAGTGTAGTAATTCCCCCTTAGTTTTTCTTTGTGCAGCGGTTCTTTTTCAAGGGTTTTGTTTGAACCGGGTGTAGCTAAATTTTTTTTTTAGGAATAGGAGCTATTGTGTTGTGTTTTGAATTGAAGCAATATCTCTTGCCTTTGTTATGTCTTGAGAATAGTGAGTACTTTGGTTGTGACGCTTAGGCTCAGTTCTTGACTCTTGTATAAGTACCTTAAATTGTATGATTTTAAATTTTCTTAACTGCTTTGACTAGAGTGTCTTGATGAATCCAATCCTGAGTGAGTTATGTGCCATGTGTGTGTGAGGTTTGGGTGTTATTCTGTGCATTACATTTGATGCCTAGAACTTGCCCCGTGTGTTTGCAAAGCGAAATAGTAGTTTTGTTCAGTCTTGGAAGTGATATAGGCGTTTCTTTGTTGAGCCATATATATATTTTACCTGCCTAATTGTTATGTATCATAGTTAACCCATTTGAGCCTGTAATCCTATTTCTTTGGCAACCACATTACAAGCCTTACCCATTTGTTTGAATTAACCATCTATTTGAACCTTCTAACCTCTCATGAGTACTTTAATTATTATGAACTGTGTAAAAGTTAAAGTGTGGGGTGGATAGTTTGGCTTTTGAGTGGAACTAATGAAATAAGGAGAAAGGTGCACTGTTTTGAAAAAAAGTAAGAGCCACTTGAATTGAAAAAGAAAGAAAAGGAAAAAATAGTTGTATTGCTGTGAAAAAAATATATTCCTTGATAAGTGGTGACTCTTGATGTAATTGTACTTAAAAAGGTATGGGGTAATATACATTGATGTGAAGGTGGAGTTTGGTTTGACATAAGTATGGGATTTGAATGTTAAAGTATATGTATTAAAGTGCTTAGGGAGGTGTAGTCACTCTCATATCTAAATGTATCCTACTCGTCCCGCAGCCTACATTACAACCAAATAAAGTCCTACTTGATCCTAGACTGAATGAGATCGATTAGTAGAGTAGTACACTACGGGCAAGCCTATGGTGTATCTTTTGTGGCATATGAATGTTAATTCTTAGAGTGAGTGAATTCTTTCTATCTTGAGTTCCTAAGTGTTCTTAAATTTTATTCAATGGAACTACTCTCTTTTGTTGTGTGAGGGCACTTGATTCATGAAGGAAAGGTAATATCAGTGACCTCTATGTTAGAGTAAGTGGGTGAGTTGTGAATAATGTGTGGTACTTGTAAATCAAATCTTGAAGTGAAGATGTTACGCTTTTGTCCTTTGTCTATTTTAAGTATTCTTGGTGTGATGAGTTAGGAGAATTATTTAAAAAGGTCGTGTCTATATAAAATATAGTTTGATTGCTCGAGGACGAGCAATGGTTTAAGTGTGGGGTGTTGATGATGGGCTATAATTACGTATTTTAGTCGCTTATTACACTCCAATTTACTGCACTTTAATTGAGTTTGAGCTTTAATCGCTAGTGTTTTGCACTAATTATGTGTTTTATGCCTTGTAGGAGTGATTCTGAGCAATGTAGATATTATGGAATGAATTCAAGTGATTTGGAGCTTTGAAATCTGAGTAAAAGCCCAAAGAATTAATCCGAGATCGTGTTCGGGGATCAACGGATGATAGTGAAGAACGAACGAAGAATCGAGTAGGCATATTAGGCACTGTCGAGTAAAATGTACATAACTTTTCTCTCAGAACTCCATTTGACCTGCACAATATATGGTTGAAAAGCTAATTCAAAGGGATACAACTTTCATGTTTTACGATTTTCCAATTTCCAAACAGAACAGGATTAAATTATTTGTGTCCTTTTTCTCGTAGGAGAGTGTATAATTATTTGGGCCCGACCCTACTTGGTATATATACATGGAAAACAGTATTTTGAGAACTTTTGACATACTTTTGACACAATTTAGACCTAAGGAGGTTAAGGAGACTGGGGATTCGACCTAAGGAGGCAAGAACACACTAGGGGCAAGGCGGAGAATTCTTCTACAAGTTTCTCACTTCCTTCTTCCTATTTCTATTATTGGTTATGAATTCTAGTATTGTAGTTATGCATACTATTATGAATAGCTAATTTGTTATCTAAGGTTTTGATGGAACATTTTGTAGGATGAATTCTTGTTATGTTTTAATATAATTTAGCCTTTGAATTTATCTATTTGTTCAACTACGTGTTTATTTCAGTTGATTGAATGACCATCGATTGACTGTGACTATTTATTATGTGTTGCTTGAGAAAGGATACATGTTTAGGTGGTTGTTGAACAACGTCACTCCTAACGTATGTGAGAAATCAATACAATGGGTTTAAAGGTAGGTTTAGAAATAACAAAGCCTTGACGTGGTCATAGTGAGCGGTTCGATGAAGCCAACTAGCGTAGTTCGAGAGAATATGTCTAGTAAATTATTGTAGTTGCTCGAGAGAGAATTACGTCACCTAAAGTGCTCACGATCAGTAGAGAATACATCGACGAAATTGTTGGGAACATAACTGGAAGGATTCCTACAATTGGAAAAATCATAACTCTAGACCTCCTTAGTCTTGTGTTCAATCCTTATCCTTGTTAATTGATAGTTATACTGCTTTCTAGTATTTGTTAGTTAATTAGATAAAAATAAATATTATAATCTTTATAATTAGAAAATTATTTGGACTTGTATTTCTTAGCAATATTGAACAATTATAGCTAAATCTTAGTTCTCTATGGGATTCGATTCCGGACTCTTAGACCAGATTATATTTGCAGCGACCGCTTATCCTTATTAGGACTAGAGTTGGGCGTGATCAGTATACCATCACATAAACAAACCATTCAATATTTTTTGATTGTGAGAATTTAGAATAATTATGCTATTTTGTTTTTTCCTTTTTCTTCTTTTACTGTATGCTATAGCCTTATAATCATATACAATGTAATTGATGAAAAAATAAAAAAATTAACAATAGGTAAGCGCTAATGGTTTATTCTCAAAAGATTTCATTCTAAATTCTGAAATTACACTAGGTAACCGCTTGAGATTAAAACATAGCCAGTTTTTAAAATATCATTTAAAGTTTAGCCACTTTACTATAAGTAAGTAAAATTAAAATAAACTTAACACGGATATCTTCACACCATCGGGGTTGAAGTTACGCTCTGTCGAAGGCGATCTTCAGCCGAAACCGTTGAATTTGAACTACATTTAATTCTACTTCAAATCTTCGGTTGGAAGTTTGGTTCTATTTGAGGCGTTGACCGAAACATTTGAAGTTTGAATTGCTTAAGGTCTGAAGTTAGGCTATTATCAAATTTCAGACTTGACAGTTTGAAGTTTGAAGATACGACTAAACTTAAAAAACTTTTTTTTTTTTTTTTTTTTTTTTTTTTTTTAAAGTTTGGCAGAGTTTCGGTATATTTTGGACACTGATTTCTCAAAACAAGTAATTATCTCTCCGAGCCCTCACATTGAGTTTCTTTTTCCCAACTTTTCTCCTATTATTCATAAGCCGGTNCTAAAAACGGCTATTTGTGCACTCCCCCAAGCTACAAATGGTACTACGGCCCATGAGGGCTGAAAAGTTTGGGCCAATGAGGCTAAAGTTGCAAATTGGGCTCCCTCCAATTCTGACCCAACGATCAATATAGCAAGCCCAGCAGTCCAAGCATGGAAGCTTCTGAAGGTAGACGATAACCGCTTTGAAACAAGGTGTATATAAACAGATTCCTTGTTATTGTTAACAGAAACAGAAAAAAGCATCTGTGAAAGAAACGGATCTTAACATACCAGGTACTATTTCTCAATAATCACTTTCCTTTTGTCAAGAATGATAATGTTTGGTTTATTGTAATCAATTCTTAGAACTATTTCTGTTATGGTTAGAATTGTAGTTATAATTTAAATGATCTTGTTTTCCGCTTTGCGGATTCACTTTGCAATATATTTGTTATATTTATCAGAATAACATTTGTGTATTCCGAAACTGTGTAGAAGTTTAAGATATTTACAAAATATAATTGAGCGAACATGCTGTAAGAAAATTTCATTTTGACTCTCCAAAGAAAATTTTGTGAAAAAGATGGAACAGAGAGCAGTGTTTTCAATCCATTTGGTTCTTTGTTTTTCCTTGGGTTATAGGGTCAAAACTTTAGCTTTTGTCTTCTCCTGTATTATTTTCTTTAATAAATTTCTGGGTGTGGTGAATAGTGAATTTCATTGATTTATAAGGATTTATATTATGGGGAGTATCTCCATTTGTTATTGGCTAAACTATGGTGTTGAAGAATTTCTTTCCAGAAAAAAGAAAGAAAAAAAATGTATTTTGGTCCTTGTTTTATTATTTCCTGTGAGTTTTGGTTGTTTGTAATGTCTGAGTTTGCAGACAGGTGAAAGTATGAGGGGAAGAAGTTGCAGCTACAGTCCTAGTCCACACAGAGGTTACAGCAAGAGATGCCGTAGCCCTAGCCCGAGGGGTCGCTTTGGTGGTCGTCTGAGTGATCCGCCTACTAGTCTCTTGGTTCGCAACCTTCACCATGATTGCAGGTTAGTTCAGATGGCATCCTCTGTCTCATAGTTGGAACCATTGATACTTTCTAGGTATCTAATCTCCAAATGAGAACATTTTCATTTTTGGGCTTGGGGGTGGCGGTTGGGGAAGAGCTAGGGAGAGAAAAAGAATAGTGTAGCTACTAGTGGATAGGAAGAAATTAAGAAAATGTGATATTACTTGAGAGTGTGAGCACCTTATGGTCTTGTTAGAGATCAATATATGTTAGCAGAAAATGTGAAGAACTTTCAATGTTAAAGAACCTGAATTTTTGAATTTGGATGGAGATGGGTCTGTATGGAGTGACATGGATAGTGGGGATTCATATACTTGACGCCAACTATCTTGGAAATTGGAACTGAGGAGTAGTCGGAACATATACTACTGTCAACTAGAAAAATGGCACGTCTCAATATCATGATGGAAATGCTCCTTATTATATGGATACAAGCATGGTTGTTGCAGCTGCAAGTAATCTATGGATTATAATTGCTCATACAAGGTCTGCATAAGTTTTCTGTTCCCATAGATCGTGGCACTGGATCTTCTTATTCATAAATACATTATTGTGGGATTTGCGAACTCTGTGTTGTCATATTTATGGCTAAATATTTTGTGAGGTAGTATATGATTGGCTATGTTGTGAGGTGTCGATGGGTGTGTTGGAGGATCCGACACGGGTGCGGTAGCTGTTTTGGAGAGTCCATGTGGCATAGATTATTGGTCAAGTATTGTAGGAAGGGGTACAAAAATGCATAATCCAACATAGTTTTTCTTCTTCTTTTTTTAAATGCTTTCTCCGGATTAATCTCATTTGTTTTCTTCCTTAGAGGGGGACTAGTTTTGGACGTAAATCTCCAAAATTCATCAATGGTTAAGGATATGTAATATTCGGGTTTGTCAAACTATTATCTTTCACTATAATCAACTTTTCTCTTTTGGTTATGCGCAATTTTATTTCATATTAAAAGGTGGAAATGTCTACATAACTGCTCCTGTTTCCTTCTTTGTTATGCTGGATGTGGGGTTTTTATTCGCGGAGAGAGTTTTTTCTAATCATATTCTTTCCTGTTTGTTCACTGACTCACTCCTCTCTGCCTTTATTTTCCTCGCACTTATTGGTAAGATATTGTGGCTTGAAGCTAAATTTAGCATCAGTAATGCGGTATTATCTGTAGAAGAATTCTTTCAAAAGTGCTATATTTTCTGTACTTAAACAGCCTTCTCTTAGACCTCGCCAGTGTTTGGTATATGAATAATTAACGGCAGAGGCCACAGGCCATCTTTAACTTGCTCAAAATTCATTATTAGCTGTTCATCTTGTGAAATGCTTGAACCTGCTGGTTGAACCATCGACTATTGGAATAATCACTTGTTCTAAAAATTGTGCCCACAATAAGTCTGCCAATAAGCACAATGAGAAAATTAATACTCTATGTAAGAGTTAAAACATCTAAAAAGGTTTTGGCCATTTCACCAGCTGATTTGTTGTTTGTTCATAGTACTTTCTAGAGGTATAAAAAGCATGAAGGGCGAGAGAAAGGGAAGTTAAGCGATTAGTCATGGAGATAAAAATAGAGTAGTGAGCAGATGATGTAATTGAGAACTGACATAATTCTAAAGTGATTATCCAGTTGTGAGTCATATGGTTGGCTTGACGATTGCATGACCTCAGCTTTACCTCCTGATTCATTTTATGGTCTGGGTTTCAGAATATTTTACCGCGCTCGGATTGCATTGTCCAATCCTTTTTATGTTTGAAATACAGCTTGTGCATTTCATGGTTCACATTTTAATTTTATCTTACCCAGAAAACTTAACTCTTTATCATTTGTTTGAAATATTCACAATGATATATGTTTCACAGGCGTGAAGATCTTCGAGGGCCGTTTGGCGAGTTTGGTCCCATTAAGGATATTTATTTGCCACGAGATTATTACACTGGGTAAGTTTTATCTTAATTGTGTCAGTTCATGATTGCTGAATGAAAACTTACTCTCTAACGGTGATGGACACATGACAAAGAGACTGTGGACTGATTGCCTGGCCTTGTTTGTATGCTTGGGTCTTTATTTTTTGCATCAGTTATTTTATGTCTATCTGGTTTTCTCATTGAAAGAGTTGAAGACACAAGTGAAGTAATAAGAGTTTTGTCAAGTTGATCATAATGTACATGAAGATTGAGGGAAGTTGGGTATGAATACAATTATGAAGATTTTCAAGTGTTGAAGGATTTGAAGTCTAAAAACATTGTTTCTCACAAGGTTAGCCGCCATGAAATTGCTTTCCTTGAATTTCTATTGTGTGACTTTCCTAAAGGGTTATTATCTTTTTTGCTTGAGGTGAGACAGAACTCGTGATTTGTTTTTGGCCGGCACATGTTTTTTTGCACATATTATGTAATGGTTAACCATATCTGTGTGCTTTTTTGTCTCTTGACTCCATTCGTGTCAAATGCTGCAGGGAGCAGCGTGGCTTTGGTTTTGTGCAGTACTTGGACCCTGCTGATGCTGCAGATGCCAAATATGAGATGGATGGCCAGGTTCTACTTGGGCGGGAGATCACTGTTGTGTTTGCCGAGGAAAACAGGAAGAAGCCTTCAGAGATGAGAGCAAGAGAGCGTTCGAGGTAACTGTTGGATGACCATGGCACTTCTCAATATGCAGCTCGGCTGATAACTGTCAACATTGTGTCAGTTTAGATTTTCTGGAAATTTGTTAATTTTGATTACTGTTCATCCTAATGGGTAAACCCTTTTCTTCAGGGGTCGGGGAAGCTCCCAACTCTCTTATTCTCGGTCTCCACGGTATAGGCGGTCCTATTCTCGGTCACCGCGGTATGCTCGGGCTTATTCTCGAAGCCCTGACTACTATTCGCTACCTCCTAGGAGAAGATATTACTCAAGGTAGTGACAATGATGATTCCTAGCTTAGCAATATGGTTTTCCTTTCAACGGTAGTTGGACAAATATATAGCCTGTATTGTACTGATATGTCCGTGTATGCTTTCTGGTACAGGGAGAGGTCTTACTCAAGATCTCCTTATGGCTCTAGGAGCAGAAGCCCAGTATGGAGTAGGAGTAGAAGCCGTAGTAGGAGCTTTGATGATAAGAGTTCTCTAGCGGTGTTGCGACTATAGTCATTTTACTGAACTCTTTGGGTTGTGGACTTGTGAGCACCTTGTGATATTGCCGATAGTTGGAAGATCAGACTCCATTAGTTCAGTAAATGAGCCCGTGCTTGGTTGTGCGTGATTGACATTTCTTCATTGTAAATTTTCGTGCTCGTATATTGTCCTGTTTGTTGAAGATCTCTAAAATCGTGAGCTATTCATTATTATAGCCGTGGCCAGTATTGACGTAATTACTGGGGGGGGATGTTCATGTTTTGCACTTCATACGTTGATTCGATCATTTGAATAAAGTATTAGGCCCAACCCAAAGAAGCAAAAAAGAATGTATTGAAAAATAGTTAATGTTTGTGAAGTCATTGAATACTAGCTATTATTTGATGTGGAGAAAAAAATTGGATAAAAATGTCTTTTAACTGAAACGAAAAAGATTCAGCGTATGAATTTCAGCACATTATGATTTTCATATGTAAAAGTTTGAATGTATGTTGGATTTTTTCGGATTTTAGTTAGGGGTAATTTTTTGGATATGGTTTATTTTTAATGAATAATTATAAACCAGGTTAATTCTGAATTTCTTCCAAGAATAATAGTATAGTAATAATGGAACCACATCCCATTATGATCACTCCAACTTTCCTGTACTTTTTTCCTTGGGTCATTGATCTATCTTAAATTATGTTCTGTTCGGACAGTTTACATTATTTTGTATAATAGTAAAAAACCGAATTGACATGATAATACTCAGGGATCATCTCCGGTATGTTAGAAAAATAGCAAAATATTGGGATGAAATAATCTGGCTTCGATAGTGTAATTACTATCATTAAGGAATTTAAGCTTCCCACTTTCTTGTTGCGGGATAATAGCAGAATTCCTCCAAAATTTTACAAAGCCACTGAAATTCGAGTTTCAGCAATTAACTCGAATTTCCCGCAATAACAGAATATTCGTGAGTTGTAGAAATAAGTAGAACAGAAAGAGATGAAAATTTGAAGTTATATTTCGTTTTGGAGATGACACGGGTATTTATAATACCTCTAGGAGTCTGTTGGAATTAACAGACTCATCTCTTCACAAACATGCACCTTTTAAGAAGGGAAAGTTTAGCAAATACCCATGGGACGGAAACATTTACCCGCCCCTACCCATTGCCTTTTCCCCTACCCATTTTTTTTAATACCCAACCAAATGAAATCAAACTAAGCTACTATGAGCCAAGCCAATTCAAGGCAAACCAAGCCAACCCAAATCAAATAAAGTCAAGCCAAGCCAAGCCAATTAAAGCGAAGCCAAACAAAGCCAAGCCAAATCAAGCTAACCTAAGCCAAATGCGTAAAAGAAGTTGGGACGAGTGGGTAGGTAGGGGTAATTAGTTTTAATTGGATAGGTATATATTGTAAATAATTTTCAAATGGCTAGGAAAGGGCAATTATTCTCAATGAACATTTTGCATAAATTGCTCTTTTAAAACCAAGTCACATATTTTCAATTTAAAATAAAAACTATTAAAAATGTTTTTTGTGAAATTTAATTTAAAAATATTTTTAATTAAGTAATAAAATAGTTGGTGACTAAAATATTAATTTTGGGCTACTTAATTGGCCCAGGTGCCCAAGTGCCAAATCTTGACTATTGTTAATAATATAGTCAAATTTTAATTTCTCTCCAAAACATCCTTTAAAATATTCAAACTATATAAGACGTAAAAACACTTCTTCCTTACTTTATTTTTCCAATGAGAGGGACAAAACATTCTCTTATCAAATGTCCCTATCAAACACTAACTAATCCAACACAGATCAGGAGCCGGCGGGCACGCCCCCAGCTTCTTAAGTTTGGGGTTGTGCCGGACTAATGCTACGAGCTTCCGGAATCCAATAAAATTTTCGTAACATCGATCATTACGAGTTTTACGATTCATTCGATTGACAGGTCCAATCGAAGAAAGTCGCTCCAGCAACTTTAGTACTTAGTTAAGGCCCCGGCCCCAGCCCTTCGCCCGGTTCTTCTCCGGCTCCACTAGCAGCCTTTATCAGTTGTAAATAGAAAAAGAAAAAGAAGCCAATTTTTATTCCATGGACCCCTTCTATCAGATTACTTTACTGACTGTAATTCATTCAAAAAGAGTAAAGGAACTGGTTTAACAAAAGGGCTCTTAAAATTGATCTGATACCTTCTTCCCTTGGTCTGGGAGGTAGGTTATGTAGGCGACAACTGTTCATAGATTGCTCGATCAGGTCAAATAACCGATTTTAGGTATGCCTGAGATTGCCATAAGACCTTCTCCCCTCTTGGAAACAGGCTAATCAAAAGGGGGCACTTTTTCTATTTTATTTTTTCGAAATTTTTTACTTTCTTGCCTTATTGGGTGACTGATCACTTGAATCAAATACCTTTACTATATGAAGTACGTAACTTACCTTCTCTTCGGAGATAACAAACCACAACTATTTAGTTCCTTAAAGGTACAAACCATCATTCTGTTTCAACAAATTATTAATATAAAAGAATTTAACAACCTTCTTTTCAGGTCATTGGAGAGGACAACCTTAAGGAATTTCTTATCTTAGTGACCAGTTTGAGATCAAAACTTGTCAAAATTTTAGTATGCTTTTTGCATAAAAATATATAACTGCGATACAACAAAAAACTGTGTTTTTGTTAAAAGAATTCGTGTCGAAAAGAGAATCCTTGTTTCTCATTAGTCACGAATTACAAACATGTTACCAAGATTAATTTAGTATACTGTATTTGTAAAGTAATTCTAGAAATAGAAAATAGCGTAATAACAGAAATGTAAAAGAAGCGGATATTAATCCGAGCCCAAAGAATTTACAGTATTTTCTTAAGTAACTTAATCCCCTCCAAGTACCCCAGGTTATGGATTATTTCCTCCCAGGATAGAACAAATTACACACTGATGTAAAGGTACTTCTAACCCCAATATTTCAGCGAACACAAATGATCAGTAGCAGATCACACTTACTATTGCTTTTTTTAGTTAAAACAATGCATAAGAAAGAAGGAGAATTCAGAATTTTCGTAAGAAAAATCTGTGGGAAAGATCATGTATTTATAGAAGCTGAATCCGAAGCCGAAGCCGAGAGAGCGAAGATAACGACGGCGCGAGGCTTGCCATCTTCTCAACTCTTTTAGAGTTAGAAGAAGTGAAATTACATATACACCCATCAAAACTCTTTTCGTCCTCCAATATGGAACAATATCCTTTTGTCAAAGAAGGAAATTCAAAAAAATTATTTTTTCCTCCATTTCCCATTCACTCTATTTTAAGCTATAACAAGCTTAAACCCAACAATCCTCTACATGAATGGGGAATGGCTATATCACGGAAATATGCATGAAAAATTATGTAATTTACAAGCAAGTATTAATCGCATATGGATAGGTAGGTTTTCCTTTGAACTTTCCATAGTGAACTTATGTCAGATATACTCGGTCAATCGGTAGATTTGATATTTTTGAACCGTCGAACTTTGGTGTATACCTAGACAACTATAATCACACAATCAACCCTTAACCGTCTTTGTTTCTCATTGTTATGTTCGTTTCAACCATGAACACCGCCTGGTTTCATAAGTGCATAGAGAATTGGCCTTCCAAAATTCTCCTTGAAGCGGCTAACACTTCACACTTACATAGGTAATTCCTAAACGTGTCATCCCGTAGATGCATCTTGACATACTCCGTATCAAATTTAGAAACCATTAAAAATTCTTAATGTTTTATCATTGGTGCTGAATATTGTCTCATCACGAGAATGGACCAAAATGTTAGTTGACAATGTTGAACCGTCATTAATGACTTTGTTTGATCTCCTTGAACCTAGATCTTGGGATCTCCGTTCTTCTAGGTAGAGTTACCGCCACAATGACTTATCCTCGACCATAGTCTTATTCCCCTCGATGATCTTTCAACTACCTCTCTAGTTAGCCTTTTGTAAGCATATTTGATACATTATCACTTGACTTTACATATTCAATTGTGATAATCCCCCTAGAGAGTAGCTGCCTAACGGTTTTATGTATTCATCGTATATGACGAGATTTATTGTTATACATAAAGCTTCCAGCCCTTCCAATCACCATTTGACTATCACAATATATGCATATTGGTGCCAACGGTTTGGACCAAAATGAAAAATCTTCCAAGAAATTTCGGAGCCATCCAGCTTCTTCATCGGCTTTTTCTAAGGCTATGAACTCAGCCTCTATTGTAGAGCGGGCAATACAAGTTTGTTTGGACGACTTCCAAGATAGCGTTCCTCCGCCAATAGTGAATACATATCCACTTATGGACTTAGAATTATTTGAACCAGTGATCCAATTTGCATTACAGTATCCCTCAATCACCGCAAGATATTTACTGTAGTACAAAGCAAAGTCTTGGGTATGTTTTAAATATCCCAAAACTCATTTCATCGCCATCCAATAAGATTGACCTGGATTACTCGTGTATCGACTCAATTTACTTATAGCAAGCGCTATATTTGGTCGTGTAAAATTCATAATATACATTAAACATCTAAACACACTAGCATAATCCAATTGTGATATGCTTTAGCCTTTGTTCTTTGCAAGTGCAAGATTCACGTCAATTAGAGTCTTTGCAACTTTAAAATCTAAGTGCTTGAATTTTTCAAGTACTATTTTAATGTAATGAGATTGCGATAATGCCATGCTTTGAGGAGTCTTATGGATCTTAAAAACCAGAATTAAATCGGCAACTCCCAAGTCTTTCATATCAAACTTGCTAGTTAGAATACGCTTAGTCGCATTTATGTTGGCAATGTCATTATTCATTATCAGCTTATCATCCATATATAAGCAAACAATGACTATGTGATTTGGAATATTTTTAATGTACACACATTTATCACATTCATTTATCTTAAAACTATGTGACAATATTATTTGGTCAAATTTTGCATGTCATTGTTTGGGTGCTTGTTTTAGTCCGTAAAGCGACTTAACAAGTCTACATACCTTCTTTTCTTTACCTGGAACCACAAACCCTTCAGGTTTTTCCATGTAAATTTCTTCCTCCAAATCTCCATTTAAGAAGGTCGTTTAACGTCCATTTGATGAATTTCAAGACCATATACCGCAGCTAATGCTTCTAACGTCTGTATGGACGTAATTCTTGTAACTAGAGAGTATGTATAAAAATAGTCATGACCTTCTCGTTGTC